AATCATTCGGCAGGATTGAAACTGGGTAAAATACTTCGCAAAACGTTTCAACTTTTTTATTTAGTATCTATTTTCGAAACAAAAGCTAGCTTTACTCACACAAGTATGCAATGATTTTACTAGAGCTATTACCCGTAAGCTTTCAGTCAAAGAACATTTGAAACTTAAGGTAGCTCAGAACACTTTCCAGCACTTTCAAGACTATGGTTCAAGCACTCTTTATCAGTTGATGCCACAATCATTGAGCCAAAAAACTACCCAATCATTGATAAACACGTTGTTTGCTATTTCTTGACACTAGAGGTTACCACAGCATCAGTATTTTAGCTTTAGTAGTTACATTTATTCGAAAATTTAAGGTAGCTCTGAGCCCCATGTACAGAATTTTTCTAAACTTTGCCAAAAGTTGCATCTTATCCTTAACGAAGTTCGATCAAAGAATGCATGGGTTTCGCTGTGCCGTTTTGGAAACATAAGTAGGTCGTACCTCTGCTATCGTGACGCAATCGTCCAGTTATATTTGTAGATAAGGCACCTAAAGAGACTGACACTAAGTAACAATTGTTAACATGACTTAAAAAGAGAATATTATTCTAAGCAAAGAAGGGTCCACAACGTAGTGTATAGGACATTTCTAGTCAGAAATTCCAATATTTAACCAGCTTTCAGAGTGAAAGAGCTTTACGATGTAAACTTTTAGCGATTATTAGAAGTAAAATTAGTTGTACTTTGAAACGCATAAACTGTAAAAAAAAATTCATACCCCATTGGTTAAACAAAGTTTTATGTTACGTTATGTTATGTAAAAAAAAAAGAAAAAAAATGTCTTAAGAAGAAACGTAAAAGAGCCAATCAAAAGTGAAGTTAAATTTATACTAAAAAATTGAAGTTGAAATGAATTTATTTTTACCACTTAGGTTTGCAATTACATTTTGTAAATAGTGCGCCTGAAAACGTCGACCCTTAATAATATACATTAGGAACTTAGAAGTTTTAAGTAAAGTAGTGTGAGGAACAATTTGCACAGCGTTTATCGTAAAAAAGCAGTGATCATAAGGCTATTGTTGTTGATTAAAGGAGTAATAAATTAAAATAAAACTCTAAAGAATAATTGTCCATTTATGTAAACTACTTCACAGAATGAGCACAGTTGTTATTAGTATGTAGCGATGCGGGATTCTCACAAAATTTCTGTGACGTTGAAATTGCGAACTAAAACGGGGACGAATTCAAAGAACAATGGCCTCTGCAAATTTTCATTTCGGATTCAAAATACCGTACACGCGTTAACAGGAAAAACTCAAGTCTTGCCCTTTTAATTTGGCCAGTGCTGCGTGAGTTATCTATGTTTTGTTTTATAATCTTGAAAATTCGATTGTTTCAGGGGGAACAGTTCAGAAAAAGGCGAAAACGTTTGTTCTATATCACCTTGCATGTTCACAGCCATTTTAATAAACCTGATCGTTTTCTAAGAACGCCAGTGACCTAAAATTTTCCAGCGCAAAATTTAACCATGCGAAATTAGGTTCTGAACGAAAAACGTGCTCTTATTGAAAGCGAAAAAGACTTGTCTGACTCGTGCAAAATTTTTTGATCTCATTGTAATAAGTCAAAAACGCAACTTACTTAGAAGATATCGTACTGATGTAGGCTCATTGGGGAAATCCCTTCGCTCTTACTATCAAAAGGAGTTGTCTTATTGGTTACAGTCGGCTTCACTTTCATTTGTCATTTCGGGTTATTGTTGAGAGGAAGACAGCAAAGAAATCTACTCTCTCTGTTGTTCGGTAGAAAAAGGTAATGCTGGAGCGGTTTTCACGTGAATGTCCAAAGTTGTACCCATTTACTTTGGTTTTGCATTTCTACGTTTTTTGTTTAGTTACTGAAACACTCGCGCCATTTTCGCATCCAATCAGAAGTAAAGCCAACTGAATCGTAACTCGCTCGCACATGTTTTCCCGCGTTTCACGACGATCACCTGTTAAAGCGAGATGATGTGATTGGTTCACTCGATCGCTCGTGTGTTTTGTGATTGGTTACTTTGGCGTGGATTTCAATTAACATTCAAATGAAAATCTCTCTGTGTAAAGCTTTTGACTAGAGCTAGCGGTTGCATCTTAACCCTTTGAGCCCCAATTACGCATATATGGCAGCCAAAAAACCTGACTAAACGGTTAAAAACGGTATTTTTTAGCGAAAGTTTGGTATTCAAAGGGCTAACTATTTTTAACTAGTTATGTGATCTTACGGGGAAACCACAAACTTCGGTTTTGCTGAATTAACCTCTCTATTGCTCGGTCAATACAGGAAAACAGAAGACCGGACGTTCGAAGTTGATAAATAGCAAATTATATGGCAATTGCTTTCGACAAAGATTTTTGAATTAAAAAGGGTCACAGCTCCGTTTACATGTACAAACCATGCGCTTTTAAAATTCGTCTCACCTTAATGGATATACGGGATTAATCAAACGCCCGTCCACATTACGCTGGAGAAATTTGAAAACGCTGCTTTATTTCTATCGTTAGGCGTACTGTCCAAACTAAACCGTCACGAAAACGGAGCTTTTCGAAAACGTTTTTCAAACCATAGGAATTTGAAAACGACGGCCTTGCGTTCTTGTTTGGTCGGAAAACATTTTGAAAACGGAGCTTCTCGATCGAAAACGATGACTTCACGATTCGCGTGTAATTT